ATCATTGCCGCCAAATAGTAATAAATGATATCACGTCAACAATGGAACCACCATTGTCAATAATCAAACACGTATGAATGAAAGCATGGTTCGTCGCCTTTCAGTTTGACCGGCAATATATAGTAAAGATCAACAGAAAAGATACCGGCAGACACCGCATAGACAGACGTAACGGTATAGTGTCATACCAAAACACATCGTAGCCCAGCAATAATGTCGGCGATTAAAAAGAACACTCATAAAACATGGATTCGAGCGCGAAAATCGTTTGTTTCAGTGGAAGTTCCCGGAGTTGTTCTATCGATATTAACGACTAATCACTAATTTCGTGGTACGATCTAATTCCTCGCCTGGTCGCTGACGTTAATAAAGATATATACTTCGCGTTTCGCCGAATATACGTCCTGGCTCTGACAACGAAATACGCAGAAGATATTATAGCAGACGAGCGTAAAGTTTTCCAACCGCCATTCAAATAAATACCAGTCACGAAGAAATTCAAATGAGCGAGTTATTGCGCATGTCATTGAATGCATAATACTTCGCGTTAACAGTCGCGACCGGTAACGGAAGTCACTATCGAGCCGGTCAGTGTCAATCCATAATATTGAAACTTCCATTCACGTAAACATGCAAGACGTAACCGGTTATTGGTCATTACATCTGACCGAAAACTGGTCCGAACATGGCTATCCAGTCGCGCGCCCAGCCGATCACATTATCTTCCGGTGCCGGTGCGTTTCGTCAAATCGCCGAAACAACATGAAGTTCCAGTGCCGATAAAGTTCAATAATCACCGCAGCCAAACGGAAGTTTGTGAATCGTTCGTTATATACATTCGAAAATCATCTATAAAACCTTCAACAAACCATCGACATAGCCGACCTGGCCGGATGTATCGCCTATCAGCCGTATCAACGGTTCATCACTCCGGCAACACAGCGTCGACCGGTAAAAGCGAGAAGATGACGGGGCAATGCCGTCATTAGCGCCGCGTCGAAACAGCCCAATTATATAACCGTCCAATTTTCATACCACCAACTGGTTTACGATGAAGGATAAGCAACTTCAACAATGATTTTCCGAGGCCCAATGTCTATTTCGAAAAATACAAACGGTACGTGCCAGCAAGGAAGAATAATCATTGAATAACACCGGTACGTTGTTGAAACAGGTCAGAAATCTGCTCCTTCATCTTCAGGTTCGTTCTTCAGCCAGTCCGATGATGGAAAGTTGGTAAAGACGCAGCAATAATACAACGAAAAATATCATTACGATTTATTCACGCAAAATACGCAGTGCCAAAGAAAACCAATGCATCTTCATCAGCAGCTCCACGACATCGAAACATTTGGGCGAATATTACTAGCAACACGTTGATATTGCGGAATGCCAGAAAAAGGATTCATTAGCCAGCGTATTTCGTACGGAATGCACCAGTGTTCGCCAGCCGACTTTAACCATTCGAGAATACCGAAACATACTAAAAGCAAGATAGCCGTCTTTTCTGTCGTTTATCAACACGCCGGAACTTCTCCTCATATGCGTAAGTACAGCTTAAGACGCTTTATCCCGCCGGTAGTGACACGGTACTCGCAGAGAATCAACCGTGCCTTGCTGGCTAATCTCACTGTGTTAAGCCAGAACACATGTACACTTTGTGTTACATTTGACCCGTAACGGTTGCCCCTGTCACACCTGAAAATTAACTTGCCTGTTTGTCGAATCCTGGTTCAATCATCGATCGCCGGCTGATCTGGTCCAGCGCCGGGTTGGGAGATAAACCGAGCTCGCACATCGTATTTTGTGGGGACTGTTCGATGGCTACCGGCTCGCCGATTTGGTGATGGGGCCGCCACCACCTGCAAACAATACGCATAATCATCATATTTAAACATTACTGAAATAGAAGATTATCAATCGACACATCTTCACCGACAGCATTCACCTGATCATCAACAATAATCAACGCAACGATCGAACGAGCATCGTTTCGACATTGCTTCACATAAGGACAAGTTGCGCATATATTAACGCACACATCGGCAATTGTCATTACCGCGACGAACACCAATAATTGTAAGATCAACGGTGTCAAAGTCCGTTAATCCAGTCAACGAAAACTGCCGCGTATCGTCGCACACCATTTAAAACTGGGGCAATCAAATTCAGTCAACAAATGTCAACAACCGAGGCAGATCACAGTGTAATATCTTCGCTTTCAAGTACGTTAAAGAAAGAATTATATCACGCCGTTCACGACACCCAACATTAAAACCAGTATGTCATCAAACGCCTCTAAATATAATCAAAGTCAAATGACGTTCTAAAAAGAGAATGAAAACAGAGACGCTGTGTACACCACAATACCGCTACCGCGAACCTTCTTCCGGTTGTCTTCTCGCGTGATTTCAAACTCTTTCGAGAGTTGAAAGGTGATCGCACAGCAAAGAAAATATGATCAGATATTCCGCATATCGAATGAAATAGCCGAAATTAAAAGTTCACATAGAAGCCTTTGTTTCGTTTCAATTGCTTCCGCCGTTTAACGCCAATACCCGTGCCAATTCAAGTTAAGGAAGCGGAGGCGGCGTGCTGAAGTATGAAGGGGTGTAAAAGACATCATATGCGGTATTCCATGATAACGCCAATGTTCGCCACGACCGTTAAGCGGGAGGCGTGTAAACATCAGCATTAATACAGAAGTATTCCATGATAAGATCATTGTTAACGTTCAGCAATTGCCATATGGAAAGCGGTAAAGATCAGCATCAATACAGATCTGGCGATAAGAACATAACGCTCACACCCGTTAATATTCAAAGCAGCGGAGCGTAAAGATCGCGCTGGTGTATCCATGATAAGATATCACAACAACGCCGCACGCACACTGCCAGTGGAGCAAGCGGCGTAGTGGTATTCCGCGATAAGATCAGTTAAAGCTGGAACGCCGCAATAATTCGTGCCAACAGTCAAGCTACATGGAAGCGGTAAAATGACATCGACATAGTAGTTTATCTACGATACATCATACAACGTTCACCGTCTGCTAAATATTCGTTGGCATGGAGGGCGGTAAAATTATCATATCACATAGACTCATGACAAGAGGTTGTCAATGCGCACACGCTGGCGTCAATAATAATTTCAAACATCGTGTTAGTGTTCGTTTCGGTTACAAGCTGCCATTAAAAGCACAAGTCTACGATGGCAAGCGTTTGGCAGATGGTATTTCCGTGCGACAGATATGCACCAAAAATTCATTCCCCGACGATTGCCGTAACGTAATATGCAAAGAAAGGGTCGCGTTATTAACATAAGAAACGCCAGAGTACTTCAAAGTTTTCAGAGAACATCGTCATCAACACGTAGTCGTTATCTCGTCGTCGAAACACGAATGGTCTATCTAAGCGTCTTCGCTACTGTCGACAATGCGCCCAGTCAATATCGTGCCGCCTTGCCAAAGTCGCTTCAGATTCGATGATGAAGCGAATAGGCATTGTTGTAAAAGACTTATGAATAGCAAAGCCCATCAAATGGCCTCCATACTATTTTTCCGAATTGACATACAATGCCAGCATATTTGCGTTCTAAAGTTTGTTTTGAGAATTAATGTTTCAAAAGAACAAATTATTACTTTCTGCTTATCTCAATTGCTTAAATACTGCAATTTATATTGCACACTTTTGCGCATGCCTTCAAAGCAAGCTTAATGCTCAACACAATAAAGCAGCGTCGGTTTTCAACAAGCGAACAATGAGCATTTCGGGATGCCGACGACAAATAGGTTACAAAACGCAAGCTTGTCATGGTACGACGAAATGAAAGCCGCTCGGCAATGCATTCCTTTGCACGAGCCTTCGCATAACGTATGGCACACCTTTGCGAGCGTAATAATGAATTTATCCAATAAAAATGTTCACGGCACAACGGCAGGGATTAATAAGAATACGAGATTTGGCATTGATATAAGTCGTGCGATCAACGTAGCGTTACAATTTTTTAACTGAAAACAGCCTTCAACGACAAATTGTTTATTAAGCCGCTATTCATAGAAATGACGCGTAAATCTATGAATTTATGCGTACATTTCAGTGAAGGAACAATCGCGACAAGTAAAACCGACGAAAGGATATACGCATCAGAGCACGCAGTGTCATGACATGACGTGTTCCACGATAAGGAATAAATAATACTTACCTTTCGTAGAGACAAACTGTACTCAGCAGAAGCGCTATTCTGAATATATGCTGCAGTTCACATTTGTTGAAGCCTGTGCAGACCGTCCATATTTGTTGATACTATCACGGCACAGTAACGCACGCCGTTCCCATGGTTATTATTGGCTGAAATAACAGCTATTTATCAATATTGATTAAAGAATTCAGCAGAAATTCGCTCACGCACAGATCACCAACTTCGTCATTAATTCATGTACATTGTCCGTCTGTCATTTAATGTTCAGTTAATATCTATCAATAGACGACCGCATCCCGACCGTAGTCTTTGTTGAAATATTTTGCATCATACATACAAACATCGAATTCAGCGGTAACTTTAATCAATAAAAGTATCAGCAGCAGTTTGTTGGCGCCGTTACCGAATGTATATTGCACCAGTCATTCCGTAAAGTACCGTAGTAGTTTGGTTTCATCATTATCAGTTTTCAAACTTTGTTCTGGATGGTGTATTGATGTTGCGGGTGAGGCAGTGAGAAACATATTGATTTGCACAAGCCGGATGTGATTGAAGTGATAAGTACAAGATTCTCTTTATGAACTGTTGAGAGCATCCTAGAGGTCGTACGAATAGAATGATGAATTTTACGATCAACTTCTTTATTACGATAAGTATTTTCGTTACCCCGCCCCGCTACGTCCCGAGTAACCAGTTAAAACAGTAACATTGATGGTGATAAAATATGACAATTTTCCCTTCCAACTATATTTATCGGAATCGTCGGTCACAACACTGCATGAGCAAATTTCCATTTTCCTTTCAAAGAATGCGTACAAGGGAGATATGGAACCAACTGCATCTCCCTCTGTGGTAACTGCAAGGATGGACAAAGGTGTAACCGCACGACCGGCCATTGTCAAAACGGATGTCAAGTAGGATATGAAAAACCTTTCTGCTCTCAGGGTGAGATTAATGAATCCTCCTCCTCTATTTCATAGCTTTTCCTTATATTAAATTAAAGGCAATATCCGTATTTATGACCATCTCTACGTCTTCTCTACCGACGTTTCAATATAGATTCTTATACAACTGTCAAGCAAGATTGAAGTACTTCAGCACAGAAAAGACTTGTATACATCCGATGCCTTCCATGTGGAATCTTAGGAATGACAAGTCTTTATGGATGATCAACTTCTATATTTCAAGCTTGAAAACGGTATAGGCATCTCTACCGAAATGTCGCTATCATACAATAAAGAAGTTGATCATCCATAAAGACCTGTCCTTCCTGCTAATTGCAACCTCTAGAATGCTTCTCAAACAGTTCATAAGGAATCGCTAATCCACATCTACATTGCAAATCAATGAGATTTTCTTTGTTATGTTTCTCACTGCCTCACGCACACAACATCCAATACACCATCAAAGACAAAGTTTGGAAAACCTGATGATGATGAAACCAAACTACCTGCAGGGTTACTTTTACCCCAGAATGACAAGGCACTGTGATTCACCCTGCCATTTTCACATTGGCAACGCCAACACAAACTGCTACTTTGATACTTTTAATCAGTTCAAAGTTGTTTCACTGTATTTTGTGTATATATGTGTACAGGGTGTTTCAACAAGACCTACGGTCAGGATTGCAGTTCGTCCTGTGGTAGATGTCTAAACTGGACATGCAGTAACACAGACGGGACTTGTGTACATGGATGTGAGCCGGGATTTGAGGGGGATCTGTGCGTGACAGGTGCGTTGACATCATTTCTACTGGAATCTTATGAAATCAATATTGGTCATGTATTTGTGTATTTTTTTGTTTGTAAGCATAACTAACCATAGGAACTTAACGTACGTTACTTTCCTACTGTGCCAGAAAGAACTGATGGTATCAACAAGAATATAGTTCTGTTTACCTTTAAATTCTGAACATCAAACTGAAAAAGGCGGACAGATTTGTTAATAAGGAATTAATTAATAGACTAGCATTTCTCAAGGTATGAAACAATTTTCAGATGTGTAACCTCGGAATGGAGAAAAGCTATTTAAATGGTATAATGATACCGAAAATGGCAACTTCTTGAGACCTTGATGTGAAACAAGACATGCTAATGTGATCTTACACTGATGTAGGAGACGGTAAAATGTGAAAGTATATGAGTATTTAGAGATCTACACAAACCAGCAAATCTCTTGAGACCTGGAATGGGTCATGCGTTTAAAGGGATTCAGCATATAGTAGAATTGTGCTCTGGCAGATCTGAGTTTGTCTACAGAAAAAGGTAGAAATGTATTTATTATCCATATCGTGGAACATACGTCATGTCATATTTTCAATACGTGCTGTAGTGCATATATCACTTCACGTGGTTTTGCTTGTCACTGATTGGTTGAATTCGACCATGACCTCATTACATCGCAAATGGGAACTACTTTCTCATTCATAAGATTTACTACGTCCGTTCTCAATTTCTATGAATGATAGCAGCTATCGTGAATTTGTCGTTAGGAATTGTTTTTCAGTTAAAAAATTGTATACATCTAACACTCTACATTTGTTGACCTACATATCCAGCTTACCAAATCTCGTATTCTTGCGCGCTGAGTGTTGGAAATCCCTGCCGAGATTCGTGCCGTGAACATCTTATTTTTTATTGGATAAATACATTATTACACTCGCAAGTGTGCCATACGATTTATACGAAACTCGTGCAAAATTATGCATTGCCCGAGCGAGAGACAAAACTTCATTTCGTATAAGTCGTATGACAAACTTGCGTTTGTAATAATCTCTATATCGTCAACATCCCAGAAATACTCATTGTTTCGCTTGTATTTTGAAACCGATTTAGCTGTTAAAAGCAAACTAGTGTTAATGTTATCCTAGGAAAGTGAAACTGTTAAACATTGTCGTGCCCTTGGAAAGGTATTAGTAATAAAGATATGCACAAAAGTGTGCTTTATAGATTTACGAGTATTTAAACAATTAGGATAAGCGTTCCAGAAAGGGTAATAATTTGTTCTTTTAAAAGGCAATGAACCTCAAAACCAAAACTTTGAAAAGAACTTAAATATGTAGCATTGTATTAATCAATTCGGAAAAAAATAATAAATGTTTAGAGATTACATTTGATGGGCTTTTATGATATCAGTCTTTTACAACAATATGTTCCTTCATCATCAGAAGCACATACGGGCAACAAGGAAGGCGGCGCTCAGTCGTTGACTGGACTTATTGTCGGTGTCGTTGTAGGGGTGCTTTCAGCTGCCGTCGTTGTCGCTGTGCTGTTTTATATACGACGGTAAGTCTTTAACGATACAGTGTTGATGTGATATTGATACTTTCTGAAACTGGAAGTAAAGGTGATCTAACTGGTTTCTTATGTTAATATTACACGGTACTCTTTCATATATTACGTTGTATCGTCAAGGGATAAGATTTTGTTTTGCATATCTATCACACAAATACATCTACCAAACATCTCAAACATCTTGATGTCGCTTACCATCAACAAGGCTGTATATAACTAATGGCAAGCTTTATGTAAATGCTCAAAGAAGCCAGATTTTCTTACAATTTTTGAAAATTGTGTGTACATAGCGTGTGCACATTGACAATTATCTTATCATAGGTCCTACTATGTGTCTGTCATATTACACACCGCCTCCATATAGCTTGAATATTGCTGGGTATTGAGGCGTTAACAATGATCTTATCATAGGTCCTTCTATGTGTCTGTCATTTTACACACCGCCTCCATATAGCTTGAATATTGCTGGGTATTGCGGCGTTAACAATGATCTTATCATAGGTCCTACTATGTGTCTGTCATTTTACACACCGCCTCCATATAGCTTGAATATTGCTGGGTATTGCGGCGTTAACAATGATCTTATCATAGGTCCTACTATGTGTCTGTCATTTTACACACCGCCTCCATATAGCTTGAATATTGCTGGGTATTGAGGCGTTAACAATGATCTTATCATAGGTCCTACTATGTGTCTGTCATTTTACACACCGCCTCCATATAGCTTGAATATTGCTGGGTATTGAGGCGTTAACAATGATCTTATCATAGGTCCTACTATGTGTCTGTCATTTTACACACCGCCTCCATATAGCTTGAATATTGCTGGGTATTGCGGCGTTAACAATGATCTTATCATAGGTCCTACTATGTGTCTGTCCTTTTACACACCGCCTCCATATAGCTTGAATATTGCTGGGTATTGAGGCGTTAACAATGATCTTATCATAGGTCCTACTATGTGTCTGTCATTTTACACACCGCCTTGAATATTGCTGGGTATTGAGGCGTTAAACAAAATTACTCATTCAAATCGTTACGTTGAGTATGTGTATTGGTGTCAAATGGATACTTCGTGGTAAGAATCAATGTCAATTGGTAATCATATTGCAATGAACGCATGTGTTTTAAAAATATGATGATGCTACGTGTGTTTTAGGCGACAGGACAGCATCCCCATCCTCCAAATCAGCGAAGCCGGTTAAGCCATCGAAGAAACCCAGATCCCCTGCAAACCACGTGTACGAGAACTCGGACACATACTATAACGTCCTCCCAACCCCACGTAAGGTGTGTACCCTGATAGACTCAGACAGTACGTCAGACAAAGAGTGGGAGGTGCGGGATTCGAACAAGAGTACAAGGTAAGGATAATTTCTATAAGGTATGACAAAATTTGTGTTCATTTGCAAATTCAAATGTAACACAAGTAGTACATGTGTTCTGGAAGACAATTGCTACAGGGGATGGTAGGGGTGCCGAAAGTTTAAAGGCACGAGTTCGATTCCCTACATGGGTACAATGTCCTTTTCTGGCTAGGATATTCCCAAAAGCGTCGCAAAACAATAATCACTTACACACTCAAATACTATGGGAGAGATTGGCGTGGTCTTTGATAAACGATAAGAAAGACGACTACGCTTACTTTAGATGTTTCGAGTATTCTCGATAACCAAGTGGTTAAAGAGTCAGCTGGCCAGACCTGGGTTCATTCCGTACAGGTATAATGTGTGAATCCCTTTTCTGGCATTCCCGCCAAAATGTCGCAATGTTTGCTAGAACAATATTCACTTAAATGTTTCTATGTCATTAGGTACTGATGACGAGTTATCACATTGGCTTCACAGCTGCATATATTTTGCATGGAATAAAATCTATGTATTATTTTCCGTTGTAATTGTACTGCATCTTTTACCAAGCTGTTACGTCATGGACTGGCTAAAGAGCACAAGGAGGGTCTGAAACCTGAAAATAAGAAGAGAAACAGATTCCTGGCTCTGTTTCCATGTAAGTAGTGTGCTATGTGGATATTCTTTATACTGTGTTTGTATACCGTTTATATTTTTCAAAATAAGACGGTTAGATGGAAAAAAATCATTGTTGCTGTGTTGTACAGAGTTGCGCCCCTTAGCTATCGCTCGTAGTTGGGTGAGAGTGAAAATATGTTCGGACAGTTATATATAATTAATGTTTGTTTGTCAGCACGGTACTTGTGGCAACACGTGCCTACGTCATGCTTCTCACTTTTCTGAAGTATCTGGTACTTGTGTTGCAGATGATGAGAGCCGCGTTGTCCTGGCCCCTGATGGAGACGCTACTTGCGACTACATCCACGCCAGCTATGTCCAGGTCAGCTGCTGCTCCCTACAATGTGGTGATTAATGAACGACTATAGGGACTATAGATGTGTGTTTTCGAAGATGCATATATACAGGCGACTACAAACCCGTTTGTAAAACTTGCAGTGATTGTGACTTTTTTTTAAAACTTTAAGACTTCATAATTTCTTTCGGCGAATTTGTGCAAAAACACACCAACACCAGAAGAAATAATGTAAATCCAGCTAGGCTCCATGCAGGTAGCAAAACTAGGTCGCCATGGTCCCTTGCGTTGTGATCTCTTGTTAGTTTTAATTATCCGTCTGTGATAATGTAGTTATCTTACTGTAGTTTGTCGATAGAGTTTCTAATGTACCGTTATTTATTATCAATAAATGACTTGTTGTAGTCACGATATTGCAGAAATATTGCCGATGTGACTATGCATTTTAACTCACTCACTCATTTGAAATTTCTTTCATGGCCTAAGTGACTATTTGAATGAAAAGCGAGTTGGAAAACCTTTACCTTCATCTACCTATAATATCTCTACATGACATGTGTTGTCAAAATTAGGACATATATTCAGCAAGAAACACTTGAAATATATATCTTTTTATGCTTACGTGTAGCGACCCTTAATTTGGGAATTAAGGTCATACCACAAGTTAAATTGTTAAATCATTAATATATATTCATTTCTTCCAGGGCTTCCACGAAGCAAACGTTTTCATAGCTGCTCAAGGTATGTTTTGCAGAGTGATTTCTTTTTACCTTGAAATCACCGGTATGTTGCTTTGGAATGCAATATGTTTTTTGAAATATGGATAACACTAAAACACCGTTACGTCATATCTATGCAGGTGTCTGCGAAGCATCTTTCTGGTGTCCCCCGCCGTAATATTGCTTGAATATGGCTAAAAGGCGGCATAAAACCATACCCATCATTCATACTTTTGTGTTTGGTGTGAAGAAAAAGTAATATGAGTGGATTCCATTGTGCATTAAATTTGGCATGTGTATTTAGTTACTATTTGGCATACAATGATACTTGTTCACTTCATATAAACAATGATGATCATTTACTATATGTTTCTCTATGAAAAGCTTGATAAACACTTCAAATATTCCAGGACCAAATAGTGTAACCGTGGATGACTTCTGGAGAATGATATGGCAAGAAAACGTGTCACAGATCATCATGCTAACCAGAGTAATGGAACTGAACAGGGTAGGTCTGTTGAACAGTACTTGTCTGCTGATAACTGAACATTAACTGTCCATCCAAAGGCTATACAAACAACCTTGAGAACACAATTTCCTTGTGTATTTACATAATTATGTTTTGATGCCTGTTTACGCCAGAATGTAATAATACACATTGTTTAACGGTTCACTATACCTAGTTGTATACGATATAAATCAAATTTAAAAAGGTGTCTCTGGATATTGTATCAGGTTTCACAGTTATTGATTGACGTCCATCACAGATCGTTACATAGTCATTTAGAGGTTCAGAATATTATCGCTATTTTGCTTAAAATGCTTCATAAGTGGCAGAACGTGTTTTATGGCCTTTCAGAATGAATAATGGAATTATGCATATTTCTGTTTATATAATGTTTAAAAAGAAAACAAATATTGTACATTGAAACTGATGTAATACTGCATGTAACGCCAAATCGTGTAAAGTTACTGTACATTTTGTTTAATCAGTGATTGGGCCGGAGGCCTAAATTACAATAAACTTCTTTTACTGTCTATATATATCATTAATGTATCATTGGGTTTGTTAATAGAAAAAGTGTGAGCAGTACTGGCCAGATGGCACGAGGGATAAGAAGTGTGAAAAATTGTTATCAAGCCACTCCTATCAACTGTCAGGGCGGATTTCACCATCAGGAAATTCCTGGTTCAGCACTCCAAGACGGTAAATTTGAATGACTTTATCGGATACATGTAGGAATGGCGGTTGGCATGACACTGTGATTTTCCCCTTAAAGGTCACATGCAACGTAAAACACAACTTTGCAGATTCTGATACCTTTCGGTATGGACTTACCGAAACGAATCGTCAAAAATGCAAATTCAACTTATAAAGTTGAAAAATAACGCGATGAAAAAAACCGCGCGAAATCGGAGTTCAAACGTTTCTCTAATTTTCCCCAGACTTTTCTGGGGAAAACGGGTTTCAACAGCTGGGCTGCGCTTATAGCACGTGCGCAGTGAAGTAGGTTCGCGCAGCTTGGAAGCGGGTTGTCCGGTGAATACTCGGTGAAGGCTTTGGTGTGAGCTATTTTTCTAATGTTTTGTTGATATCTCACAGGCGCGAGCTTTTTATATGTTATGACAGTAAATTAACTGTTTATATAATTTCATTTGTCTATTTCACCACAAGTTCTTCTTACCGAGTCACTTTCTCAGTTCTATACTTAAAAAGCAATGCCATTATTTAGCGTTGACACAATTTCCCACTGTGATATAGATATGTCGTTGTCACAGACTAAACTCAATGTCTTGTTTTATTGACACCCGTGTGTCTGCCTGCCTGTCTGCTAATGACAATATTCAATACACAGCTGCTATCACTGACCACATGCAATTTGAACTTAACACCAATCAGGCTATACACCATAAACAAAATGCATTGATTTATGGCCCCGAGTTCGGTCTCTGTACACATTATGTAATTACACAGACAGGCAGGCGTGATACTTGAACAAATGACATGTTATGATTTCTGTTGATTGCAAAATGTTATACACAAAAATGAGCATGTATTTACAAAACCCAACATCTCTATATATACACACACAATGAGCCGTGCATGAGGGCGGCATCTGCAAATGAACCAGCCGTTACACTTGAGTGCACACCCACCCGCTCTGACTGGGTTCGGTATCCCGTCTGCTTCGTTTCGAGGGAGGTAAACCCCAAGTACAAAATATTGTGCACTTTTGATTTGCGATTATACGCTTATAATTTTGTTTTATTTGTTTTTCATTATCAGCAATGCATATTATATGTCATGAATAAGTGATAATTGTGTTTTAATTATGTTTGATTTTTGGTTGCATGTGACCTTTAAGTAACTGCATTTTGCCTTTGCTGGGTTTTGGCGACAATGGATCAATGGTACCTTATAAGTCGTCAACCTACTTACATTACAAATCATACTTCTCTCACCCACATAGGTGAAAGGAAACATAGAGATTTGATTTAATTCATTTCGCTGTTTTGTTGATGTGTAGTACATTATGTCATAAGTTACTATATATAAATAACATATCTATCAGCCAAAGTAATGCATGTTAAATACCTTCACTTAAAGCCCTCAGACAAGTGGACAGTGACCGCAGCTCCACTTCACGTCTTGGCCTGACCATGATGTTCCATCAGCACCGGCTCTGGTTGGCTTCTGGAAGCAGTACAGGAGTATGACGTCATCAGAGGAGGATATTACTGGACCTGTGGTAGTACACTGCAGGTGTGGGTAGTTCACACTTCTTGGTTTTGCATTTTCGTTGAGCAACAAACACATACAGACACACGTACGCACACACGCACAATAATTCAGGCGTTGAGTAGGCGACGCAAGAAGCAATTGTCATGTAGCATATCCATTTCAATAATCCACACGAACAATGGAAGCCCGCGGTGACTGAGCGAATTAGGTGTCTGACTCTGAGGGTGTAGGTTCGAATCCCGGATGGGACTGAACAAAAGTACTAGAATCTGTACTTTACTAAGAAAGTGTAAAACCCAATAAAACATATGTTACGGATAAATACATCTATAAATCTGTATGTTATTATAAATTATAATACACTCTGAGTATATGGGGAGGGGGAGATGGTGGAGATACACAACGAAAGCGTTAGTTTGGTTTTACTGGGGTTTTAGCCCTACACCAAAAATAACATATGAAACAATTGTCATGTGGCATATCCATTCCAATAATAACACGAACAATTGTCATATGGCATATCCATTTCAATAATTACACGAATAATTGTCATATAGACTATCCACTTAAAAAATAACACGAACAATGTCATATGGCATATCCATTTCAATAATAACATACACCAGCAAGAAATGACGAAAATGATTCAAAGCTACTCGTCTCTGCATTGTTGGTACATGTGTATCGAATGGTACATAACATAGTCACACATAAGTAAATGTACCGATATTGTACAGAAATGACTCAACTGTAACCTAGTGTATGTCCCCTGTATTTATAGTGCTGGCGTTGGCCGGACGGGAACGTTCATTGCTCTGGACAACCTCTTTGATGAAGCCGAGTCTCTGAACAAAGTGAACGTGTTCGCATGTGTGTCCAAGTTGAGGGAAGCAAGGATGAACATGGTGCAGACTGTGGTGGGTACACACCTTTAAAGTTGACGAGAAATCTTAGTGCTTATTACAGTTATATATACAGTCAAACCCCGTTTACTCGAACCCCGTATATCTGGAAACCCGGACGATTTTTAGGTGAACCGAAACTTACCTTCAGTAATTGTACTCGCCTAGCCGGACCCCGCGCTTCCAGACCCGGACGGAGAAGTTTCAAACCATTCCCATAGATTTCCATTGAAACCATGTATAGCTCATCACTAGTGAGAATATAAATATCCGTGATTTTTGATATAACGAATTCATCATACGTGTTTATTTAATTGGGGCGGTGGGGTAGCCTAGTGGTTAAAGCGTTGGCTCGTCACGCCGAAGACCCGGTTCGAATCCCCACATGGGTACAATGTGTGAAGCCCATTTTCTGGTGTCCCCGCCGTGATGTTGCTGGAATATTGCTAAAAGCGGCGTAAAACCAAACTCAGTCAGTCAGTCAGTTTATTTAATTTGGGAAATATCAACCGAGTCATATATTTAATCGGTATTGACCGAGCCCGTTTATGTTCATCGTTTCCACATTTCTGTTACCCTCTTTAGAAATAATGGGCGGCGGGGTAGCCTACTGGATCGCTAGTCATGCCGAACACCAGGGTTCGATTCCCCACATTGGTATAATGTGTGAAGCCCATTTCTGGTGTCACCTGCTATGATATTGCTGGAATATTGCTACAAGCGGCGTATAATCATAAATGCGTCAAAAGTAACATCAAGCTTGTGGAAGAGTTGCATATATACTTCCCATCAAAAGTTTAGACTCACTTAAAACACTCGCTGTATGTTATGTATATATATATATATGTGGTTACAACGAAGATTGATTTCTCCGATTACTTGGGAGAACCAAGTGTAAACTTTATGCAGATGAATTGCTCGAGGATCATGCATTGAATTGCTGTAAAGCATGTGCAGATATCGTGCATGTGAACAGCTGCGTTTTGGAGTAAAGTTTTGTTAAGAATTCGCCAATTTTCACTGAGTGTTTCATTTCTTGAACTCGTGACAATAATCTTTGCATCCATACGAATTTGTTTTACAATACATCAGTTCATGTGTAAACAGTACCTTTAAACAGTATGGAATATTTTGCAAAATTTAGTTTACAACAGTTGCCTGAAGTGGCTATATTTTTACAATAGTGAGTCTAAACTTTTGATAGGAAGTATATCTTGTGCATAGCTATACATATTTTCCATTGCTGTGTGAATCAACACACGCACCCTGTCAACTCCCATTTGGCATATTCATTCGCGGAGAAAAAATACCTTGGATGCTTAAAAATGTAAATGAACACAGAGTTTGGCAGAATATTTGAAATTTTATCAGATTATGTCTCGGATAAATTGTTTCCTTATTGATCTGTAGAATTGGAATCTACTAACTGTTGTACATGGACTGAATGCATATAGCTACACTTGAAGTTGTCTGTAATGAAAACAAACTTCGTGGTTACAGGGGCGTTGGGGTAGCCTCGTGGTTAAAGTGTTCGCTCGTCACGCCGATGACCGGGGTTCGATTCCCCACATGGGTGCAATTTGTGAAGCCCATTTCTGGTGTCCCCGCTTTGATATTGCTGGAATATTGCTAAAAGCGGCGTAAAACCATACTCATTCACTCACTCACTCGTGGTTACAGGAGCAGTACCGTTTCGTGCACGAGTCTGTCATGGAAGCCATCGAGAGTCGGGGAACTTTCTTCACCTTGTCCGACTTCGAGGGAAAGTTTGGTACCGCCTGAAATACTCCAGACAACAGGACATAGAGATGAACAGACAGTTTCAGGTGCGGAATATCAGTTTTACTACCGTGAGAATATTGAACTATTTATTGGTTCTTGCAGTTGTTTTTAATTATTTAGTAATAAGTGGCGGCTTGAACGAGCATAAAACAGACTCATTCAATGATACAGAGATACTTATGATCATTTAAAATGTTTTGCCGATTTAATAGAAATGGGTTTTTCTAACACCAGTAGAAAGAAATGTTGCTATTGTTATGTTTATGGGCGTCTCAGCAGCATATTCCTATCAGGTATGTTGCAGTCGGTATTGATTGCGTTCAAAGGGACATAACTCTGTCGATCGAGTAAATGCGTTTCACCCTGTAGACGCCATACCTCACAAAGTTTTACATCAATAAAAAACAAGTGATGTATTGTTATGTCTGTATTAAAGATTCTGTACACCGCATGTATTGTAATAATGTATTCCTGTATACGCTGAAGTGATGTGGTGATGTGTTCATTTATTGCTTTCAGTCTCTTGAATCCGCGAAGATGGAGATCCCAGAGAAACTGGTATCTGATGCTTATCTTCCAGCAAATGTTGGCAAAAACAGAAACAAGAATATTGTCCCAGGTTTGTATTCGACTTCGCATTGTCAGCCAAGTTGATAGCACGATTTTCTTCATTTTCCTTTGTATCTGTTCAGTTTAAAAGTTTATGATTATAGTGTCATAAAATCTCCCACTCCAGCCGACACAGATGCATAATATAAATAACAGCCGTGGTGGTAAAGGAGTGAGTATGGTTTTACGCTGCTTTTAGCAATATTCCTGCAACATCACCACAGGGGACACTAGAAATGGGCTTCACACATTGTACCCATGTGGGGAATCGAACCCGGGTTTCTACAGGATGAGCAGACGCTTTTACCGATCCCGTGCTGAAGGAATAATCCACGGTTCAATTGAATTTAATTTACATGCGTTGTGCACGTATTTACATCCACCATGTGCTTCCAGCCAACAGAGGTCGGCCTTTTCTCTCAACTCCTGTCGCAGACCACAACGATTACATCAACGCCGTTATAGTTCCAGTAAGTACGTCGACTGTATCTGTTAATGACAAAATGACGTACAGTATGTTATGATAAAAACGACGTAGTATATGTTATGACAACAGTAAAGTACGATATGGTATGAGAGAAATTACGTATGATATGTTATGAGAAAAAAATGATGACGTTCGATATGTTATGAGAAAATGACGTACGATATGACAAAACAGATCCAAGTGTAGGTCCCATGACATACACTTGACGAATCTTTAGAAGTTGTTAACCAATAGGTATCACAGAGATTCCTTAAAACAAATGATTATTAAAAAATGGAATGTATATGACCAATTCAGCCAGGATAGTGGAATTTTATTTATGTAGGTGCATTGAACTTTTTGAAGTATTCAAAAGGTATCAACCGATATGTGCCTTAACACAGCCTCCATATTAACAATCTGGTGCGGGACCCATACATCTCCTAACCCTGTCAAATATAGTGGAAGCCCTCTAAACCGACAGCCCTCCAATCCGGCATGCTCTCAATACCGGCACTAGAATTTGGTCCCGGCAGAGCTAGTTAATTTATGATCATATACACGCCCTCTTATCTGGCGGCAACCTATTCCGTATTTCGGCACAACAAAGACCGCCCACTTGACTGTTTGTACAGTAATTAACGCTCTCTAAACCGGCATCCGGTATCTTGGCTCTTCTGTTGATTGTCTGAACCTGTACACACCTTCTCCTTAGGTTGGAGCGGAAGCTATACATCTCCTAGCCTAGCCCTGTCAAGTACACACATTCTCCTTAAATTGGTGCGAGAGCTATACATCTCCTGGCTCTGTCAAGTACACACCTTCTCCTTTAGTTAAGCAGCGTTGGGTCACATAGAGTCCTTGGAGGGGTAACCGTATTTGGCAGCTAGGAGTGATTCAATCCTGTCCCACAACGAAGCACACGTGAACATGTCTTATCTCAGGCATTTTCACCCAGCAGTGAATGGGTACCCGGAGGGATATGTGAGTTTTACGCCGCTTTTAGCAATATTCCAGCGGGGACACCAAAATGTGCTTCACACATTGTACCCATGTGGGTATCGAACCCGGGTCTTCGGCATGACTAGCGAACGCTTTAACCACTCGGCCACCCCACTATCCCGTGGGATAAGAGGATCATTATATATTACAAATACATTATATATTCTATATATCATATGTGAGTAGCCAGTACACAGTAGGCAATAACCATGCTATTGCCATGAAGAGAGATTAATCGACTGACTGATAGTAAATGAAAGTAACTTTTTGGATGATTTTTCTCCCTGCAGTCGGCAACACAACCCTTGGGTTTGATAGCAACCCAGACCCCGCTAAAAGATACTGTTGTAGACTTCTGGAGGTTGGTCTTTGACCATGACTGTTTCACCATCGTCTGTCTGGAAGATGAGGGGGAGAATCAGGTAGGTAATACAAGAACTACAACAACACACATATACATGTGTTAGGCTCATGTAAGTATACTATAGTCCGTTTGGCTCAAAAGCGGACCGATGAATTGCAATCTAACTCGAAAACTAATAAACATAACATACTCAATGAAACGCTGATCATAATCAAAACATCATACCCACTCTGTGAGGTTTTAGCAGAATTTTTGTCCTAAAAATAAAAGTTGTTTAACAAACTATCATTAAAATAGTTCACTGTTTGTTACGAGGAGGAGTGCAGAGAAAGGGACAGCCAGGTGTGCGAGGAAGGATGGAGACGGCACAGCACAGGTTAATGAATCAATAACTTTGTCGGCACTTGTGCACGTGCTTCTCTAACACCTGGTTGTCCCTTTCTCTGCACTCCTCCCTCGTAACAAAATAGTGAACTGTGTCAATATGTTAATGATTGTTCGTTAAACAACTTTTTATTTTTAGGACAAAAATCTGCAAACAAATTTTATGTTTATTAGTTTTCGAGTTAGATTGCAATTCACCGGTCCGCTTTTGAGCCAAACGGACTATAGTATGCCGGATTATCAATACAAAAGTTGCTCATGAAGTCAAGGTAGTATTGGTTCATTTGTTTGTTGTTTACGCCGCATTCAGCAATATTCCAGCTATATGGCGGTGGTGTGTAAATAATCGAGTCTGGACCAGACAACCCAGTGATCAATATCACGAGCATCGATCTACGCACTTGGAATACGATGACATGTGCAACCAAGTCAGTAGGCCTTACCACCCGATATCCGTTAGTCGCCTCTGACAACAAGCATAAAGACAATTTCTTCACGGGTCTTGTTCAGTTAGAAACGTGTAATGAGAAGAATAGCTTTGTAATGAAATAATATGTGTCTATTGCTTGTAAGGAGGTGTGTTAGCATGCATTTCATATGACTGGGTACGTAGCACCAACACAGAGAGTAGTTATTGTTGTTATTGCTATCATTCCAAGTGCATCATGGGAATTGCTGAGTTATGTCTTTATCTTCCACGTCGTAGGCCATATATCCAAGAAAGAATGAATCGTTGAACATAGGACCGTTCCGCCTCACCACACTGAAGGAAGACACATCACGAGACAGTTTCACTGAGATGGAGCTTAACTTGGCTCTTAGAGAACAGGTATTGTTGCACAACTAAACATGACGTTGTTTGTGACCAAACTGATACTTGGGACAACAATCCTTCTGAACATATTGCCTACGTCTGTGCGGCCGATTCTGAGATCTTTAAATATTAAACGTTTACAATTCTTAAAACAGTCTGTATAGTGTCGATATACTTTTTACGAATCTGAAAAGTAGCACGTCGACATAAAATATGAGTTTCCCCAATGCTATTGAAGGTGATGTATAACGGTCATTTCTATATGGTAGCAGTTTATAAAAGATCGCAATTGGGATTCGCTGACATGTAAGTCAGCGAGTCTGACCACCCGATCCCGTTTGTCACCTTTAACGACAAGCATTCGTTCCTGAAGACCAGTTCTAACCCGGATCTTCACTGGTCTTCACGGGTATATATTTGGACTAAAGCGAGTAGAGTATAGGCTGTAAATGCACCTCAGTGAGTTCTATAGCTGAAATACATTAGGAGTTAGCAACAAAACAGTCCAAATTAGTGTTGGGAATTGGTTAAAATCTCATAATTGATGATTGGTTCATTACCACCGATCAATCATCGAAACTAATTGGTTAGCGCCATTCATGAAATTTGTTAATGCACAAAAATAAGGAAAAAAACCATATGAAGTTACTGTTTGGGTGTTTGGGGCAAAATTTCACATCTTTAAAGGATGACTAGTATGTTAGAAATATAAATTTTCTTGGTGTCTTTAAGATGAATTCAATCATGACTTGGAACAAACTTGTAGTGCTTATGAAATGCAATAGATAAAACCAACCTTTGTGAAAAAATATTGTTGATGAAAACAAGTGTTCCAGAATTGTTTGTGTTCGATTATGAGAAAACATGATCGATTGCTTGGTCGTTAAGTCACTGCGACCAATCTTCGATTATTTCAATTAATCGGACCACCACTAGTCCCAAAGTCTTGCTACGTACCTTTGATCCAATAATCATCTTCTTTATCTTCAGGATAACACACTCCACCAGATCCGTGTGTTCAAAGTGAGATCCCAGATCCCCGGGCCTACAGAACCGATGCTAGAGTTTGTGAATGAGATTGGAAGAAAAGGCAGTTCTGAAGAACACAAGACACTTGTACACTGCCTGTATGTGGCACTTTAATTACGACGGTTGAATCATTTTCAGCATCGCGCATACTATTTGTGTCCTTATAACACAGTGTCCGTTAGTATATTTGTCAGCTCTTAGAGTCTAATTCCCTACTTCTATGGTATTGTATTTGCCCCTATTACAGATATTCCGTCATAGATAGATAGATATACTTTTGTTTCCTCCATAGCATATGAAGATAAATACAAGGTTTACAGGTACATTACAACAAGTAAATCAATATGGTATTATATGGATATACACATATGGTATTATGTTGTATGGTATTTACACATGTCAGAAATTATACACATTCATAGAAATATCGTTTCCCACAACTTAATAGTTCTGGTGCATATTCGGCTTATGCACCTTGTCCATGTTTCATAGTCGAGGTCCTTCGTGCACTGATTAGGGCGACCCCAAAGTAGAAAACAGAGTAATATATCGTCATCATTATTCCAAAGGTTACTAAACGTTTCTACATCAAGAATGTCGATTAAATCTTCAGTTAGTCTGTCTCTTTCATACTGCGTTTCTTTACAATAAAGAAATACATGTTTAACAATGTCAAAGGCAAACGTACCACAGAGACATTCATGAGATTGAATTACGTAAGTACCATAACGTACCATAACGTCCTATAACGTGATTGCAGATCTGACAAATCATAAAAATATATTAAAAATTGTACGTCAGCATATAAGCAAATCAGAATGATTCCAAAAGTTTTCCTTCTGCAAACATTTTGTACTGTAATATTTCCCCTGAAATGTCAGTCTTCCTCTGTTTCCAACGATTGCGTGCACTGAAATGTTGTTATTGTAGATACTCTGGGGAGACGGGCTACACAAGTTATAAGAGCTTGACCCCTATCCTTTTAACTTTGTGAATAGAATATGTTTAAGCTAATCTAAAGTTTCCTTGTCCAACACAGCGACGGTGCCCGACTGTGTGGAGTGTTCTGTAGTGTCCTCAACATCATCAGCAGACTGAGACTGGACAAAGAAGTGGACATCTACCTGACCATCCGAGAACTTCAGTGTATCAGACCCCAATTCATCCAGTCGTATGTGAGTATTAAATACTTCATCCAGGAACGACAGAACAGTGGAATGAAGAAAAACCCAATGCTCACTGCTTAGTCAAGTCGTATGAAATCAAGGGGCGGTGGGGTAGCCTGGTGGTCAAAACATTCCGTCGTCACGCCGAAGACCCGGGTTCGATTCTCCACATGGGTAGAATGTGCGAAACCCATTTCTGGTGTCACCCACTGTGATATTGCTGGAATATTGCTTAAAGCGGCGTAAAACCACACTCACTCACTCGTCCTTCACAGTTTAAGGAATGTAAAAACCGGAGTTCTATATTCTCCCAAACTGTATAAATCTTTCTTTAAGATATTTTCTTTGTGTTTTCTGTAAAAAATATGTATGGCAGGCATCCATAATACATTCTAGAAACACAAAACCAGGTTTTAAATGGCATTTACACATATCTCTTTTCAAAATCTGCCATCGAGCAGAGTTGTGAAGAATTTCGCCAGTGGTCATGAATGTTAGATTCCACCGTTATCTGATCGACACGCATATTTTAAACTGAGACCTATTTTTTTAAGGTTTGGCTCAGAATTTGAAAAATGCGCACGACTTGGCTGTATTTCATGTCATCGTCCATTTCATTTCAAGTCGTGACCTTCGGAACTCTTAGTCAACGCATATGGGACATATTGAATTATGAGGGGCAGAGCCAAACAATTTGTGTTTGAACCACATCGTATCTTTATTCAGAATGCACATTATTCAAAAAGCTTTCGTCGGGTAAAACATTTTCTGCATGCGATAAGTCCCTGACATTCTGAAACTGTTTCGAATTCACGCTTCTTTCAGTGATTAATGTAATGTGTTCTCAGTTGCACTTTCGATTAGTATGAAAGATAAATGCTGAAACGATAAATCGTGGTTACATTCCATTCAGGGAATGTTTTACAGTTTCACTTATCTGAGGAAACAACAGCACAAAATACTTTGTTAGTTATGGTCGTTTTTCCAGGGTCAGTACAAGTTCTGTTACGACTTGGTGAAGGAGTACCTGCGAGATACCTGCATGTACGCTAACATGTAATCAGAGAACCAACACGTATGGCTGAATGAAGGACATTACTTCCGTCATGGCCATCATCTGTTATAGCACTGATGATATACTGAGTTCCATTGACTCAAACCATTTTATTTTGTACATTATGTTACATTGTTGTAGCAATATTTTTGAGATGAATTTTTCTGACAACTTCACAAAAATAATAATTTTCGCAATATTTCATGAATTTTCGTATGACATTGTACACAACGTATCTATGTAGTCAATAGTACTCTTGCTGTAATCATATCATCTATCAAAGTGCACTTGTTCATTGTACATACATACTATCCTGTCCCACTGGCTTTGGCGTTATAGTGTTATCTTTCACCCTATCTCATTTTCTATCATTGTTCATTCATCCTGTATCACTGACTTTGTCAATTCATTGTTGGCTTTCTTGATAACTTTCACCTTGTAAATATATACATGAACTCATCATTAACTTGACAAAGGAGGTTCTATTCTTAACAGTGTCATATATTCATATCTATATATAACATCAAACATCGGCCAGATGTAATGACATAAGAAAAAATGAAACAGAGATATGCCTTTTTGTCATACATGAACAGTCACTGAACTTGTGACGCTGCTCGCGTCAATTATTGTCCCTTTGTTCCGGGAACTGGAATACAGAAAGAGCAGTTTGGTTCAGTTCGAATCCTCCAAGCTTAAGTAGACCGCCTCCGTGGTGTAGTGGTTAGAGCGTCCGCCCGGAGAGCGGTAGGTCGCGGGTTCGATCTCCGACCGCGTCATACCAAGAGACGTTAAAATATGGTACTTGTTGGTCCCTGCCTGGCGCTCGGCATTAATGGGTACAACAAGGACGGGTCGGCTCGGAGTCATGCTTCACTGCGGCATGGTATCTCAGTGGGCTAGCACTATAAAACCAGCTTCAGTCTGGGCTAGTACAAGCAGCTGCACATACACATACACACGCATGCACGTCGTCATATGAGCGAAATATTCTCAGGCACGACGTTAAACCCAATTTCACCTCACCTCCAAGCTTAAGTGTATCCTATGCCTTTTGTTTGAGAAATATCCTGTTGTAGTCAATCCATAACGTTGGCAATTACTGTAGTTATCACTTAAGATACTTCCAAAACCCATGCAATAAAATACATAAAGATATAAAGAGGGAACTGATTGTTGGTTTTCATACCAGCTGGGTTTTCCAATGTTGTAATACTTTTACTAATAATGCTCTTCTGAAATCTATTTTTCTGACATTAAATGATAATAATAAAAGTTTTTCTTCAGTCATTATGTTTTAATATGATTAGTCACATTTATAATGCTTATGATTAATTAATATAATATTACCGATAAGATCGGTATCAGTTACATATTGTTTCATTAATTTTTATGTTTGGTGCTTATATGATTATATTTTTTATTGTATTTTCTAAAATACCGGAATGATGTCAAAAAGTAATAGTTATCACTATGTCGTTTCCCTGTACTTTACATCGAGGTGTATCAATTTGAATTTGAAAACCATGTATACACGTTCTTAAAAGTAACGTTTCTCATACACAAACACTTGAGATAGTGGCATTATGTCAAGTATTCAAATGAATATTCAAACGTTTCTGCTTTGAGGAAATAAATCACGTTTAAGATCCTCATTTTGTCGTTTTTGATTTTCACAGATGGAGCGGTGCGGAGCCCAGGCTCTGTTGGTTTGTACGCATAATTTTGTTGTAAGAATTAACAATATCCACGGGAGAGAATCACATACTTTTGTCAGCACGACATTCTGTGGGTTTCATCAACGTTGTCAACTTCAAATACCTGTGTCACCTATAGAATTTCGCACAGGAAATGAATACTGTGAAAATACTAGACACTGGCACCAAAACAAAGTTCAAACATACCGGAAATCAGTGTCAAGCATGCAATGACAACACTAGTTTCAAGTACCGAATATCAGTGCCAAGCATACAATGAAAACACTAGTCTCAAGTACCGAAGATCAGTGCCAAGCATACAATGAAAACACTAGTCTCAAGTACCAAAATCAGTGTCAAGCATACCGCAATGAAAACACTAGTCTCAAGTACCGAAATATCAGTGTCAAGCATACCATGACAACACTAGTCTCAAGTACCAAATTCAGTGCCAACCATACAATGAAAACACTAGTCTCAAGTACCGAAAATCAGTGTCAAGCATACAATGAAACACTAGTCTCAAGTACCGAAGATCAGTGTCAAGCATACCATGAAGTACCGTAAATAGTCAAGCATCACAATGAAAACACTAGTCTCAAGTACCGAAAATCAGTGTCAAGCATACAATGAAAACACTAGTCTCAAGTAGTACCAAATTCAGTGTCAAGCATACCATGACAACATTACTAGTCTCAAGTACCAAAATCAGTGTCAAGCATACAATGAAAACACTAGTCTCAAGTACCGAAGTTTAGTGTCAAGCATACAATGAAAACACTAGTCTCAAGTACCGAAGATCAGTGCCAAGCCTGCAATCAAAAACTCTGAGATACCAAGTTTAACTATGTTTCCTGTCTGCCTGATGAACAACCTCTCTAAGGTAATGTATTAATTTGCAAATTCACGGAAATCCTACACTGTTTATAGTGAGTGGGCGAGTTGGGTTCTAAGCCGTTTCAGCAATATTCCAGCAACACCACTGTGGGTACACAAGAAATGGCCTTCACACATTATACCCAGATCAGGAATCGAAACCGTGCCTTCGGAGTGACGAACAACGATTTAACCACTAAGACACACCTACACCCATGCTCAATTTAAATGCACGGATTCTCCTAAATACAGAATATTTACCATACCATAGCGCTACTCACATGATCTATATCCAAGGAACACGACACTCGTGATATGGCTTTTAAATATGTTTTCCAACGTATGTTCTCAGATTTTGACATACACTAAACGCCAAAAACATCACCCTCCTACCTTTATGAATTACAGAAAAACTCTCAAAGATATGTCAGAAAGGTATTAGCTTACAAGAAAGCTAATAACAGCTTTATGCAAATCACGAAAACAAATTCTCAAATGCATTTAAATTTAGTTGAAATGCATCTTTTCAGGAGTGTTAAATTGTCCTGTTTTCGTCCATGCCGAGAAAACCAATAACAGTCATTTTGATGTCCAAGAGAAAGGTTGAAATAACTTTCAGGGCCTAGATTTTCGAAGCTCTCTTAGCGCTAATATAGTCGTAAGTGCCATACATTAACATTAACCTACGAGTATCTTAGCGCTAAGAGAGCTTCGAAAATCTAGGCCCTGCTTTGGGACAATGATAAACCCATTAAAGTCACCATTTTGTAACTATTAAAACAAGAAACAACTGTTGTAGAGTGTGTAAATTTGTCAAATAATCATTCACATGATTTCAGTCTTTTAAAACATTTTCCGCTGATTCGCATTAGTGAAAACAAGTAAAACGTGTCTTTGATATTCTGAAAAAAAATGTTTAGGAAAATCTAAAATTATCTTTGTTAACATTTTTGCTTGCAAATTAACATTTTTCCATTTTCTGTTTACACATAGCAATATCAGTCGCCAAAACGCAGCAATATTCAAGCAGTATTTGCATCTATTTCACATGTAGAATGATTTTGTAGGGTATGAAGAGAGCCTAGATTGCATGATATGATACACAAGTACGAGACATATGCCACGATTAACAGCTGAAGAGAGAGAAAGAGCCATTGTGATGGTGCAGATGGGGTCGACATACAATGCTGTTGCCAACGCCCTCGGATGCCACCGTATTACGGTTATAAGACTTATTCAGGGCTTCAGACAGACTGGGGTCACCGTAGACAGACCAAGAAGTGGACGTCCACGCATCACAACGCTAGCTGAAGATACGTACTTCCGTCATTAAGGAAGGAGGGTAACGTTTCTTTTGGCGTTTAGTGTATATAAGTGCAAACCTGATAAGTAAAATTTCAAGGACTTGCCCAAATTGTTTTACTTATCAGGTATTTTACTTATCCAAACTTATCAAAACCCGGAAATGACAACCATATGCATGTACAATGTACATGTATATGTATACAGCAGAATAACAGACAACATTTGTATGTAATATGACATGTTTTATTCCATAAAAGTGAGCGAGTTGAGCTATTAGCAATATTCCAGCAACATCACGGCGGGGGACACCAAACAACAGGCTTCAAACATTCTATCCAAGTGGGGAATCGAACCCGGGTCTTCGGGGCGTAGAGTTAACACTTTAACCACTAGGCTATCCCACCGCCCCGTACACAGTCAGAGGATTGATAAAACCTAAATAACAGATCATCACAGCTCTAATACCAACACAACTACATTGACACAGTTATGTAAGTATATCGGTGAAGCATTTAAATATCGAGAACGATGATGATTTTCATGAATATACAACTTCTGTATTCTGTGAAAGGCGACATTTCGATATAGATTCTAATATCGTTGTCAAGCAAGTGACGACATTAGAACGACATTAGACAATCTATGTAGAAACGTCGAATCATGTCTAGATACATTACTGTTTCTTGCATTTTGGGGTTGGTATTTCAAATGCTTTTCGGCGAGTTTGAAACTAAAAGTTGAGTGTTATAGTTTCAAAGTTTTGTTAGCCAGTCGGGCTAGCTATGCCTGAAAGTTGCTAGCCCACAAAATACCTCACTAGGCCGAAATTTGATTGTAGACACGGGTTTCATCATTAAGCTGATAATATGATAACATTTGTATCAGGCCATAGTCTAGCATGATTAAATAGTGTATTATAACTTAACAGGTCTGTGAGAGTGATATATTTACAAAATGACCCTATGAAACTTCACTAGCCAGTCGGGCCAGCGACCGTGGAGAAAGATGAAAGAGTTGGTAATCCAACTACTACTTTGAGAAACTCCGACTGGAGTTTTACTAGCCATGGGCTAGCGGGCCAGAGAAGAGCAGGGATTTACTTAATGAGCGTCGGTTACTGCAGGAGGAAATAATTAATTATTGCCGTACCACAGGAAGAGACTATTACACGTGAGCGCGGAGTCGTGTGTAACACGGCCATGGCATAATCGCCGCCAAGAGAGAGGGAAATTCTTACGGCGATAATCTTACCAAAGATCTAGAATATTTTATTTTATTTTTATTGTTCCATATTTCATGTACAGAAGATCTAGAATATCGTTTCCCATTTTATTACCGTACAACGGTTCCCTAATTGTTTAAAACATGATGTGAAGCTTAATGTCTCTCAATCACAGACTCACCGGGTCAGACGGTGTGCCCTCACTTAGCCAGATTCCGTCAAAACCGGTCTCTCATATAGCCAGAGTGGGATTTGGCTGACTAGGGTTAGTGTTTTGATAAAACCTAGTCAAGATGAGCCATAGTCTGTATCAACAAAATGCTCGATTAGTGAGAATAGTGAAATGTGTATCAAAGTGAGATAAGTTGTACATTGGTATTTTATTATTTGATTTTTGGGAGGATTTGAGGAAATGCTCAGTTGGTGTTATTAGTGACATTTGTATTTAAGCGAGATACATTGATTGAAGAACTCACACTTATACAATCACCAAGTGAATTCAAGAATAAGATTACATTTTATTGTAATACTTCATTTGGGTTCGATATCAACATTGGAAACATGTTCTGTCAAATATTCCACTGCAGACTCCGATTAGAATGTAATGATTTAAATGCCCATAAAGTAATTAGATTTATATCCGATAACCCATCATGTTGTTGTGGTGCAGGGGCGGTGGGTAGCCTAGTGGTTAAAGCGTTGGCTCGTCACGCCGAAGACCAGGGTTCGATTCCCCACATGGGTACAATGTGTGAAGCCCATTTTGGTGTCCCCGCCGTGATATTGCTGGAATATTGCTAAAAGCGGCGTAAAAATAAACTCAGTCAGTCAGTCAGTCAGTTGTGCTGCCTTTGAGGACACCCTTCATTATTTTATTATATGTCCCAACTATGATGGTACAAGAAACGATTGGTATGTAACCAAGAATTACCTAGATCTATAAATCATGATATTATCAAATCAGTACATAACTTTATTATCACTTCAAAAAGATTTAATCAATCTTATGTTTTCATCTGACCCTTTGCAGAATAAATATGTTTAAACCGAATTTTCATGTTACAAACATACGCACACACACTTGTATACTTCTTAAATAGTGTCGCATTGTAGATATAGACTATAGCCCTAGAACAAAGGCTCACGCTTCAGTGGCTAATTATCAGGTTCGCATCTATCACCTTGCCATAGAGCAATGTTGTCTTAACAAGACCTTTGTGATTGGACTCTGGCCAAGTGAGAGTGAACCCAGACGCCCAGATCCAGTAGCCCAGTCCCCGTGTCCGTCACGGTCGAGGGAGCAGGGGCTGACCAGCTTGCAGCTTGGTTTCGTAATTAGACTGATCGCAAGAAACAGATAGACAATAGCTTATTAAGTCTCACCTCATAACAGTAAGACACGGGTAACATATTAAAATACAAAATAAAAAGTAATGAACCACTCTATGCAGAGTTATGAGAGACCATAGACATTATATACTAAAATACTTTAAATACGTAGAATGTTTTACCATGTTTATGAGTTAATGCTTTTAGATATACACATGTGAATATATACATATTGGCATACAAGGAATACCACAGATTAGAGCTCAAGTATAAAATATTATCTTACCTTCATGGAAAATACTTTAATTTCATTGGTCAATGGCGCTTAACAAGTTTCCGTGTCACCCCTCCCAGGAGGGTGACAACTGGAAAAAATATTACCCGCTGCCACGGTAACCGCCAAGCTCTCCGCCGAGAAGCTGAAGCGCTAACAATCGTACGACGTCATAATATGACGCATGCCGTGCCCGGAGTTCGAAAACCGTTCGATCAAGTGTTTTTGTGTTCACTTTGTACAGATTTATTTTGCCGACTTTCACTGCTTTATTTAAGCTATTTTATACAATGAGTGGTTTGTTTGCACACTCAGCTTAAACCTGATTAAATTTTTTTATAGCAGTTCTAAGCTTGTCAGAATATGTTTCACTGATTTTAAAAATCCAGTCGAGAGGCAGACGCCTACTGGCTCGGGTGACACTGCTAAAAAGAGGCGAACATCAACTGTTGATTAACACATGTTTTAAACAACGCTGAATGCAAATGACTATATGTAATCTACTTGGCAACTACTATATCAATCAATCAATCAATCAGTTAATTGCATGAAGGCCAGAGGCCCATATACAGAATAAATATGTATGATATGTACAACATATACAACATGCGACACACACGTTACATTGAATCTCTTCTCAATATAAGCGCGTGATAAATAAATAGAGCTACCTTATATTGTAATAGGGATGCTGTACATGAAAGTATTGAATACGGTTTTGTAGCATTAATATTTGATTGTAGCCATTGTGGAAAATACAGTTGCCTTTAAATCATTATATGCAGGACAAAGAAATAGAAAGTGTAATTCATTCTCTACAGTATTACAAAATGGACAGAACCTTTGTGGGATTTTATAACAGATGAATATCTTCCTTGATTGATATATAAATCATTTAGACCATGTCTCAGGCGTATGAAAACATTACGAAGCTTTTTGCTACGTAAGTTGTATAGATACGACTCAGGTTCAAGTAAAGATTTAAACTCACGATAACAATCATATCTTGAACTTTCATATAAAGATGAATGCCAGTCTTCTAAAGGTTTGCTGACAAATAACTTGCTGTGAAGTAGCCATGGTTAACAGATGTTTGCGAAAACGCGATCAAAGTCTACCTCACCATAGGTATCTATGACCAACTAATCAAACGAATAAAATCAATAACATAACATAATAACATATGGTTCACACAAAAACAAAAAAGGGAACCCATGGTACAGTGAAAATATCTGCTACTTTTGTGGACGTTGCAAACTATATTTGATTTATACTGCTGAAATACCTTTCAATATACCATCAAATCCCTGTCTCAGAGATTAACCATCATGTCTAAATTAGTCGAATTAAGTCCAAATGATTTAATTTTTTTCTCATGATACCTACAAACATACTGTCACTCATTTACAATCTCTTAAATATTAAAAACATGTATTTTGAGAAAATGTAAATATTCTCGCTCATGGGCGAGTTTTTTTATTAACGCTCTAAATTATTCGAATTAAGTCAAAATGAGTTGAATTTTGTGTTATGATACTTATAATCATACATTCATTCATTGACAACCTCACAAACATGGATTCTGAACTAAACGTAACATTGCTGCCCATGGGCCACTGTTGTAAACATATTTATTCTCATACAAATTTAAAACTAAACTGAATGATGAAAAGAAGCAGGAATATTTTCACGTCTCCACCCAAAAAATACCCCAAACACACCAGAAATTGATATTTCCCTCCCTCATTGTCAGTCACATTTCAAAACACTTAAACTAAATCTACTAGTTTCAACAGCAAAGTTATGGTCTGATTGGACAATTCGTAGATTTCAACAATTTCCAACAACACAGTGCATTCCCAGAAGACGTGAATGTTTGCTTCTTAGCTTTGTTCGATACGAAATATATAAGAAAACGAAAACGAAACATAAAAGGTTAGATGACAATGTAGAGTTACTCAAACTGAAAACTGAAAACGAAGACTACCAGTTTCTCCCAAATACTATATCAATTTGTAACTTCTAAAAGCATTGTCCATCCATAAAATATACAAATTATCATGAACTACCGAGACAGCCAAGCACCTACATTATTAGGAAATGTCCAATAGGTTGGCAATAAGTTTTCCGTTGCAATATAGTTGACACAGTTGTGACTTTTAAAACAGAAGGGAACCGTTTTGTCAGGTAAAACATAACTCAGATGTGCCCACGAATCATACTTCTTTCACTAATTTCCACATTAATATTTCCTACAGCGATGCATTTCACATGTTACCCTCGGAAAACGTCATACGACTTTTGAGATAAATGGCACTTGGATGAAGGAATGAAGGTTTGCCGCGAGGAGTATTATTTGAAATGCCTACTTTGTGAGACAGGAATTTAGTAATTGCTAAATACTGCAATATTTTAGTAGCATATGGACTTTAGAATCCAGAAGAATGGGCAGGTCTCAAGGTGTTAATATATCACTGAATGTCACTAGTATGTATGCAAGGTTAGGGCAGATTGAATTTTCAGTTACATGCTGGACACAAATCTTTCATCATTGTGTAGCTGCACGTCTCAGGAACATTGGTTGCTTCGTAAACAAGTTTGGGCCTGAATCAGAAAGAAAGGTATAGATCTTCACAGTGAGTGAGTTTGGTTTTAGGCCGCTTTTAGCAATATTCAAGCAATATCACGGCCGGGGACACCAGAAATGGGCTTCACACATTGATCCATGTAGGGAATCGAATCCGGGTCTTCGGCGCGACGAGTGAACGCTTTAGCCACTTGGTTACCCCACTGCCTCAGATGTTCACATATTACTGGCCATGATAGAATGTGTGATCAGAGAGATAAGCGATTGTCCTTTGTATATGGTCCTACATACAAATCTGTTCCATAACATTCCGTAACAATCTTGGTGAGACTATTCTTGGCAGGTCGTTCCTGGTCTAGAAGTTTCCAGATTACTTTTGACTCCCAGTCTAAATATGGCAACTTATAGTGAATCCCAGCTGCTCTATGCTGATTCTTAACGAATAAATGCAATCAGGACATTGTCTTTCAATGAAATACATTGCCAGACAACACCAGACATACTTAGAAATATTTCTGTTAATGCCTGATTTATGTTTAACACCCGAAGATTATTTCAGACATGTCTCTCTAAAAACACGAAATTGATACAGTTAATGTGGTACTGCGATGTGTATACACTGAAATAAGCAGTCAGTATTTAGTCTCGTTAGCTGGACTGCAATATCTACAGACTAGTTCTTGAGGATAAAATATTTACATGTTTCCAACCAGGAGCTTCCACATATCGACCAGGAATATACTGATGATCCTATTACAACCAACGTTGAGAGCAAAAGTCGAATAATCATTGCCAAGCAAACACTGCTATGGTACTACTGTCAGTGTGATCCAAGAGTGAAGCCAGGCTAACATTCTGCATCAGGTGGAGTTATTACATTTCACAAAGTTGTAGTTGGATTACCAACTCTTCCATCTTTGTCTGAATGAAGGAACGTAGCATTTCACAATGACTGGTTTTGCATGTTTGCACTAACGCTGGGTAAGCTAACATCAGCTGGCTCTCAGGGGATAAAGGTATGTAGGAGGTGTGCACGAAGACTAACGGTTGTGTGCTGGTTCAAGAAGGAATTGTCACCTTTGCCTGCCACAGACCAATCAATTTTCATGGATCCACAGGAGAAGTAAGTTTCATCAGGATATTTTATTTGGAGAGTACCGGCATTTTGACATGACTGCCCCCCTATAGATTTTTGTAGGCAGCAACTTTGAATTCCCTGTAGGTTTTCCCAACCGTTTTAAGATTGCATGACACACATCTTTGATAAATTGAAGAATCTGCAACAAACAAAAGCAACAACAAAAACGTTGAATGCATTTTTCTATTTTGACTTGTGCCACATGTTCCCGTTTTTGTTCAGGGGCTCCTCTCACGAAGCAACCTTTACTTAGGTTAACCTTAACTCCCATTCTTTAACATTGCACTAAGGTTACCTCAGTGACTTACGATCACCTTAATGCTTTGTGAAAGGAGGCCCAGTCAATATCGACCTTTACCAGTTAGTAGATATGGACTCTTAGAAGAGACATTGTCGCGCTTTTGCATTGTCGTCCCTATAAAAACAAGCATAATCAACCAAACCGCTACAATGCAACATCTTGGCCAATTGTTGCATTGTCGGGCTTTGAATAACATTATTCCACAAAAGAGCGACAATGCGACAACACGAGTTTTTAAACACCAAATAATGTCGCCCCATTTAAATGTATCAAACAAGCGTATACAGTACAGTATGTACAACGTCATATTGATAATGCTGCATTGCCACTGTACATTTTATTAATGGTGCGCCTGTATAATAAGTAAATTAATTGATGCATGCGCAAAAATATTGCTATACTCCTTCGAACTCGCGGG